TAACCTCCTTGAACATTCGTCACCTCTCGCTCCTTTCCGTAACCTCCTTGAGACATTCGTCACCTCTCGCCCCTTTCCGTAACCTCCTTGAACAGTCGTCACCGCTCGCTCCTTTCCGTAACCTCCTTGAACATTCGTCACCTCTCGCCCCTTTCCGTATCCTTCTTTAACATTCGTTACCTCCCGCCCCTTTCCGTAACCTCCTTCAACATTCGTCACCTCTCGCTCCTTTCCGTAACCTCCTTGAACATTCGTCACCTCTCACCCCTTTCCGTAACCTCCTTGAACATTCATCACCTCTCACTCCTTTCCGTAACCTCCTTGAACATTCGTCACCATCGCCCCTCTCCGTAACCGCCAAAAACATTCGTCAGAAATCGCCCCTTTCCGTAACTGCCAAGAACATTCGTCACCACTCGACTCTTTCCGTAACCACCTTGAACATTTGTCACCACTCGCCCCTTTCCGTAACCTTCAAGAACATTCGTCACAAATCGCCCCTTTCTGTTACCACCAAGAACATTCGTCAGCACTCGTTCCTTCCCGTAACCGCCAAGAACTTTCGTCACCACTAGCCCCTTTCCGTTGCCACAAGAACATTCGTCACCCCTCGCCCCTTTCCGTAACCGTCAAGGACCTTTATCACCACTCGCTCCTTCCCGTAACCTCTAAGAACATTCGTCACCACTCGCCCTTTTCCGTAACCTCCAATAACATTCGCCACCACTCGCCCCTTTCGGCTTATCCCGGAAAAAACATGATTGTCACATAAGGAATCACCCATCTGACTTTGGCTGATGTTGATTATAAATGGTGATATTTGTTTCTGTCACAACGACTAAACGTTACTCTGGGTGAACGACATGCATTAATTATACGACAGCTCCTGGTCGTGTTTACACAGTCACGATTCTCTCTTGACGTTTAATGGGAGTCCCATGCTGATTTATCACCGGTGTCCTTAACAGGACATTTGTAACTGGAGATTTTTTTAAAACAAATATAGCGTTATAGATCTTATCAAGTCAGGGTGGAAATGATGAGGTTCAGATTATCAGGATTTAGAGGATTGTGAGTGGTAAACCAAAGTCCCGAAGTCATGAATGCGATCTTAGCTCCAAGCTTCGTCAGTATTAAATGTGTCTCAAGTCGTGAATATTTTGTTAACATAAGACTCAGTTTTAGCCTGGCTTATGAGGTGGGTGAGGTGATATGGGGTTTAACGTCGTGCTTGAGAATATTTCGCTCATATGACGACGTGCATGCGTGTGTATGTGCGGCTGCTTGTACTAGCCCAGACTGAAGCTGGTTTTATAGTGCTAGCCCACTGAGATACCATGCCGCAGTGAAGGATGAATACCCCACTCAGACACATGATACTGACTCCGAGCCGACCAGTCCTTGTTGTACCCATTAATGCCGAGCGCCAGGCAGGGACCAACAAGTACCATCTTTTAACGTCTTTTGGTATGACGCGGTCGGGGATCGAACCCGCGACCTTCCGCTCTCCGGGTGGACGCTCTGACCACTACACCACGGAGGCGGTCGCCTGGCTTATGAAACAATCGTAGCTTAGTCGAAGTTTGCGACCGGAGTCACAGGGAAGGCAAGCCGTTTTCACATTTATTACGAAATAACTGATATTTTCAACTGTCTTAAAGATATCTTGAATTGAACTGAGTATATCTTGAAATCAATTTGTCAGATGTTGATTCCCAAGTTGAAACATAAAGTTAACACGAATCAGGCCGTACAAGAATTGGGTGTGAGAACAACACACAACAAAGCACACAGCAATTTAGAAATTGATACAAATCACTACAGTGAGTGAGTGAGTGAGTGAGTGAGTGAGTTTGGGTTTCCGTTTTCCGCCGCTTTTGCAATATTCCAGCAATATACAAACATTGTACCCATGTGGGGAATCGAACCCGGGTTTTCAGTTCGACGAGACGGTTTATCCACGAGGCTATCCCACCGCCCTACAAATCACTATAGATGTAACACAGTGGCAGTACAAGGTAGAGTGGAAGTACTAGGGCTAGAACGGGTCCAAATTTTCTACCCGGGTACCCCACCCCCTATTACCCTACCCTACCCAGATACCCGTCATGTTAATTGCTGTCATCAACTTTGCAAGAAATGGCAATAAATTCTTTTGATCGGAGGCTAAAATTACGACTTTTCAATATATTATATTAAAAAGAGGTTATTTTAAATGATGTCTAAATCTTCAACGACAATACAACCTTTTAATCATGAAAGAATAACATATTGCATTGTTTAATCTATTAGTCACATGATCATAACGGGTCCGGGTATTGAGACGGGTACCCGGGTCAAACCCATTACCCACCCGTCCAGAGTATCCGGGTTGAACTCATTACCCACCCGCCCAGGGTATCCGGGTTAAACTCATTACCCACCCGTCCAGGGTATCAGGGTTGAACTCATTACCCACCCGTCCAGGGTATCCGGGTTGAACTCATTACCCACCTGTCCAGGGTATCCGGGTTGAACTCATTACCCACCTGTCCAGGGTATCCGGGTTGAACTCATTACCCACCCGTCCAGGGTATCCGGGTTGAACTCATTACCCACCCGTCCAGGGTATCCGGGTTGAACGCATTACCCACCTGTCCAGGGTATCCGGGTTGAACTCATTACCCACCCGTCCAGGATATCTGGGTTGAACTCATTACCCACCTGTCCAGGGTATCCGGGAACTCATTACCCACCCGTCCAGGGTATCCGGGTTGAACTCGTCCCAGCCGTAGGTAGTACACATTTCAAGCAGTATAATACTAAGGCAGTAATTACGCTAAAAGTGACAGAGAACGTACAATTCGCATCACCGCAACAATGGTCAAGTTGGGCAAACAATGGCCAAATAAGACAGAGTATCGAGGGTAAGAATGATCTGCATTGCCATTCTTGTAACTTGAGATGTAATACGAGATGAGAGGCTGGAGGTTAGCCCCTCACTCACTATCCACATATTCAATGTATTGCACGTTAAATATTGTTACATAATGAATACCACTGCCACATAACAGTGTGCGTGAGCTCCTCACAGTGACCCGACATCTCCCTGTTCATTGACTTTGAGAAAGCCCAGCAAGGTAAAGACGAATAAATCTCTCAAAACAGAGATAATGCCACTCTGTGTACAATTTTGCTTTTTTTCGAACAGGTAGTTTTTCGAGCTCAGCGTTACTTTACTACTTTGCTTGATTTTCACGAAGACACTTTTTATCAATGGCAAAAACAATAATGTTTTAAACAAGTCCGTGTTGATTGAATATTTGGGGAAAGTTGTTTATTGTACACATCTCCAGACTCATCATCATTTCATGTTGATTTCAATCCCCACATGGGTACAATGTGTGAAGCCCATTTCTGGTGTCCCCCGCCGTGATGTTGCTGGAATATTGCTAAAAGCGGGGTAAAACCAAACTCAGTCAGGCAGTCATGTTGTTTTCATAATATGTTGTCCACTAACCTCTTGCACCATGGTACCCTGTGCAACCTCTGATGTCACAGCTTCACCTGGTATTCCCCGTTCTATTTTTAGCTTCTTCAACCGCTGGATATACTTCATTTGACATATGTCGGATGCTTCATGGCTTCTTACTGACCTTTGGATCCACTTCTCTAAACTTCCTTTCTTCCTTCTGACGACTAATGTCTCACGTCTGCCGTCTTCATTTCGCGCCATATCGGCTCATTCCACACCACTGTGTGAAGCCCATTTCTGGTGTCCCCCGGTGTGATATTGCTGGAATATTGCAAAAAGCCGCGTAAACCCATATTCACTCTCATTCCACGCCACTTGGATTTATGCCAAGTCAAGGAGAGCGACAAGGGAAGCATCTTTTTGAAGTGTCATAGTGCAAATATTTGCTGTATAATTCATATAATATACTATCCTAAAAAAAAAAGAAGAGGAAACGCATCGGCCAAAAATCTGTTGCGAAAATGTTGTAATTTGAAACATGTATAACTCGTCCACAAATAGACTTTAGTACATGAATTTTTAAACCAGTTTAGAAGAAAAGATGTCTATAAACCAAGTGGATAATTTTAGATAACGGAGACACTGAGCGCGATGGTGACGACATAGCACGGTCCAGACGTCGGGTCTCCTGGCTCTCAGTCCAATCTCTCTCAACCTGTTCCGTACAGTTTGGCCGGATATCCTCCAAACTCCAGGCACCCTGGCTGCTGTGCCCTCACCCATGGCAGTATGATCACGTAAATGTAGTACCCGGATGTACCGATCTTGGGCTGCAGTGGTGACTCGAGGTCTGCCTGTACGGGGACGGTCATTGTACCTGTTTGGTTGTAACGAGCTGCAAGCCTCGGACTAACATTCAGACGCCTGGCAACAGAAGATTATTAACCTCAAGCGTGCATTCGTTCAATGGCGACGTTCCGTGTCGCAGCGTCAAGATGTGGTGAAGTGATTTGATCTTGAAACTCCTTCAAAACGGATTTCTGATTTTTTTTATAGCCAGACAGTGCATGCTCTTTGCAGCACAATTTCAACTGGAAGTTGTTTTCTGTTGCGTTGTGGCGATGCCTTTTTATCCTTGTAAGAAATCTCATCAAAATGAACCATTTTCGGTTAAAGTCGATTTTTTACTTGTGCAATTGTGTAAAATCATGTTATCAACACTTTTCTTACATATTTTGACGATTGTTTGAACACATTAAGTAATCAATAGATTATAAAATATACAAAACGTCTATAAGTTTCTTTTTGGGGATAGTATATTTACATAAATATGATATTCCAAATTTATAAATGTATCTTCGTAATTATCCCCCTTATATAAATTGAGAATATGCCACTGAGGTTGGAAAACACGCCATCAGACATATTGTAGACACTAGAAGCCCCTTGACACTAGTCCCCGGCTGCTTGTCACTTTCAGAGTGATAGGCTGACCGATCAACCCCAAGTTACAATAGTATTGTCAAGGGTTATCAATCAGAGAGTTGCTATGCGACCTCCGATATATAAGTATGTGCAGACTGCTCGTAACTCCTCAACATCGACTGTCATCATTTATCCTGAATTCACGTATTTCATTTTTTTAAGGTAAGACATTTTCATGCGTAATTGTCCGTGCTCGTTTAAAACGTGTTGAAAGTGTTTCATGATTATTTTCTTAAAATTATATGCATTAATGTATAGTTTCAACTACATGTTTATGTTAATTGTCAAGTTATAGTTCAATGTTTTTCGGGGGGAATGGGGTAGCCCAGAGAGACAGAGAGAGAGAGAGAGAGAGAGAGAGAGAGAGAGAGAGAGAGAGAGAGAGAGAGAGAGAGAGAGAGAGAGAGAGAGAGAGAGAGAGAGAGAGAGAGAGAGAGAGAGAGAGAGAGAGAGAGAGAGAGAGAGAGAGAGTTTCAGGCCAAGGTCGTCAATGGCGAACGGACACGACACAATTCTCTTTGCGATGAATAAATGTAGGTAAACTCATTTTCACAGTGAGGTGTAAGTGTCTACGAAAGAATGGCCACTAGCGCGTTGACAGGTGCCATCAGCTCAACATGTTTTGATGCATGTCGTTTGTGTATACTGTGAAATCAACCAGAAATGGGTGAGTTACCGCTACAAATTCTGAGCAGTGATTTTGGCTCGGAATCGAGAAAGCACGATTTCTAGTAATATACGGAACATAATGGGTAGATCCACATCTTACAATACTTCCTTTCTACCGTCTGTTATCCAAATTTGGAACTCCCTCGCTAATAGTACCCGAGACATCCCAACACTTGCACAGTTTAAACGTATTTTAAACAAGGATAGACCTCAAGGATAGAACTTCGGATCACCCCATTGTCAGATGATACTATGCAATTAAATTCCGTTTTGGTTGTAGCGATTTGAACTCTCACCTTGTTGATAGACATTTACGTGACCACCCCTCCTGTCCTTGTGGCCCTTCCACACAGGATCCATTACATTCAGTTTTTTGTGTGTCCTCGTTTTAACCATTTAAGACAAAACAAATACGTCTACGAGTGTATGTTCCGTATTATATTGGGAGAGGCATTAATACAGGCATTTTCGCCTGTTTGCCAATCACCAAAAATCCCGTCACAAGTAAATGTATTCAAATATGTCATCAAAGAAATATACTCATGCCAATAATGGTTGTCACCCCTTCCCCACCCCAACCCCACACACATTCCCACCCCACACCCCCTCTCCAATAAAATAATTTGAAGTGGGTGACAACCATTATTGGCATGAGTATATATACAGTTTCAACCACTTACAATAGATGCTTGCGTCACATGAAACAGTTTTATAACGGTTCTAGGAAATGTTTTCCCAATATTTGAACGTGCAGATTATAAGGATATGCAGACAAAATTCCTCTCGGATCATAGACTTGCCGACTGTTAGTATATTACATAATGCTTGATATAGCCTTTATTTCTACTTAGGGGTGGGTAATTTTGGCTACATGTAGAATAATTTGCAGAATAAAATTTTTAAACTTATCCTATCTCACGGTATGCACCTCTCTTCTTCTTCTTCGACCATGTGTGGAAACGTGCTGTAGGCTAAGTTGAAGCAGACTTTCTGGCCTCTGACCCCTGACCCACTCCATAGCAGGACCTGTCAATCATCTCAATGGGCGTGCAGATCGCTCCGATGATCACCTAACAGCCTGCCCTTGTCATTCTCTTTTTTGTCGCCCACTGTTGTGGACGTGTGTTATGTTCTGTCTGCCACTTGTCTCTACTTTTTATCATGAGGGAAATAATTGGTCTTCTCGGTAGAGATAACACTGTGACAAGTACAGAAGTTTTTGTTTTTCCTGTCGCTGATCCTCACACACTGTACGTTGATTGTATCGGAAGGTGTGACGGTTCTCACCGTTGCTCTTATTGTGCCAATTTAGACGATGAAGCTTTCTCCGTTATCGTGGAATGGACACAAGACGAGTGGCAGACAGGGATGGTCGGAAGTTTTCCGAGGGTCCATCCTCATCCCAACATTCGAAGTGAGATCGTCCGTACTAAACAGCTCGCCGTTTATCACCATCACCGGACGAAGATTCTCGATGCAGCATCGGATTACTAACTCAGCGAGAATTACGTCGGGTATTCCGACCCAGACTGCTAGTCCAGTGTCGGGACAGGATGACTTCCCCTACTCGGCAGTGAACTTCATTCTTCGTTGTCGTAGTGACTTTTCTCAAACACCTGTTACGGCATTGTCAGCACCTACTGGCAATGTGTCTCTAATTTTCTCTGTATCGGCATCTAACTTATCTACAATGATTTATTGTAGTGCGAGTTTGTCCACAGCGAGCTCTCCAACTCCAGTGATGATATCACGTACAACAATCCCTGTTAGGTCGGCGTTTTCTGTCGGTGTTACGCTCCAGTGCGTCGATTATGTATGGGTCGAGTGTACTCCAGAGCGTCCCTCTCACACAATTATTATTATTTATTATTATAGTATATTTATATAGCGCACATATCCACACACCAGTGCATGTTCAAGGCGCTGTTATTTTCCCCCTCGATCATTGCATGTCAATCTCAACGGCTCATCGTATAATCAATCTCAGCTGTCTGGAGAGTATACAACTCTTGCTGACGCAAGGCGCACCGAGTTACTGTGGCTTTCTCATCCTAACGAGGTACCCATTCACAGCTGGGTGGACTGGGACACACAGTCACAGTACTTTGTACTTTAAGTTTACTGCACGTTGCTGTACCCGCAACTAGGTGTGTGCACGTATTCATGTGGCCACCATCTGGTCATATACCAACGGATTCGTGGGTTCTTTTAATCCGAGTACTTAAAGTGCACATCGCTGGGGTTGTATTGTACTGTACACTAGGGGTTCATTCGTCACCACTCGCCCCTTTCCGTAACCTCCAAGAAGACTCGTCCCCCACTCCAACTGAGTGTATTTCTGACGATCTTGCGAGCTTGTTCTGGAGATTGTACTTGCGCTTCAAACAATTTTAGGAAATGTAATTATAACTCGCTACGAGTTTCAAAACAATAATATTATATTTGTATGTAACTAATCAACTTTAATCTCAAACATTGGGCTTATATTTCACATCTCTGGGGATATTTTAGTCTGACTATTTGTTTGGTCATTCATTTTTTTCCCAGCAAATTCATTTAAAATTCCACCAGGAGTTTGACAGCAAGATTACACGAATGTTCAGTTTGAGAAATATACTCTCACAAAAAAGAAACGCATCATGAAAATAGCATTTTCATGTAGCAATGAATTAAAACGTGATACATTTTACAAAAGGTTTTGCTCTGTTTATGAGTCCTGTGGTGTTTATGTTTTGAAACATCACAACAAAACGCACCATCCGTAAAATACCCGTATTTAACAGCATGATTTTCAATTTCGGCGTGTAGTTTCACAGAATACACAATTCACATGCAATGCAGGTGAAAGTTGGGGATCAGATAGTCTCAATGATGGGTATAAAAGGTTGATCGCTGTTTGTTGATTATTCACTGTATTTGGAATATTGTTGACGAACGCAAAATGCCACGTCTAAGTGAAGCCAACCGTTTTATCGCGATTGGTTTGTTTGAAGCTGGCGTCTCAACGTGCAGTTGCCGGACGCATGAATGTTCATCAAAGCACCATTTCACGGCTCTGGGAGAGATATCGCCGGCAGAATGCGGTAGCAGATGCCCCTCGTAGTGGGCGACCTTGAGCGACCACTGCGGCGCAGGATCGCTACATCCGAGTACATCACCTGCGTCATTGAACAGCTACGGCGACCAGTACCGCCCGACAAATACCCGGATTGAGGAGGCTCTCTGCACAGACCGTCAGGAACAGGTTGAGAGAGGCTGGTTTACGTGCCAGAAGACCTTACCTGTGCTTCGACAACAACATCGTCGACATCGAGTTCAATGGTGCACCAACGTTCAGCCCTGGAACCTACCGAATTGGCGCAGAATCAGTGATGAATCACGATTTCTATTGGAACGACGCGATGAAAGAATGCGGGTGTACAGACGTCGACGTGAACGTTTCACCGACGCTTTCGTTCCCCAGGTGTCCATTCGGCCGGGGAAGTGCGATCACCTGCGATGTGGGGAGCGATCACCTGCCCCAGGAGAAGTGATTTGGTGATGATCCAGGGCAACCTGACAGCTCAACGGTACTGTGATGAAATCCTACGCCCACACCTCCTTCCAATCACTGATCGCCAAAGGGAGCCGTTTCAACAGGACAATGCAAGGCGACGCCGTAACCCTCAGCCCGAGACACTTCAGCAACTTGCACAGGCACTACAGGCAGAGTGGGCTGCGATTGGGCAACACGAGATTCTGAGACTTATTTGTTCGATGCCGAGGCGATGCCGTGCAGTTCTGGATGCCCACGGTGGTCACACGAGGTATTGACTTCAGTGCCACCACACGTCTCCATGTGACACTCAAACTGACTTTCCTCGAGTTGGTGCCAAAGACGGATAAGTCTGCATTCCTAGTGTGCAATTTCGCTATATTTCATTGACTCATAAAGCCTACAAGATATTTCAAAATGTACATAAAAACACAGTTGAAATTCCTATATGCGTTTCTTTTTTGGGAAAGTATATATTAAAGTCATTCTTGAGTATGTGCTTTGGGATTTAATGTAGCTGAAACTATTAAACTTTTATTGGCATATTAAAAAAAAACAATTCCGATTTGTGATTAGTAAACCCTAATGGGAAATATAAGGTTAACAGCTGGTAATAATTACATTAGAATGTGTCTTTAACAAATAGGTTTTTCTCCTTGTTTTCGTTGTATCAAAGAGGCTTAATTCTTTAAAATAAATAAGTAAACAACCCCCCAAACGACAACCTAGCAATGCAATGTACATGTGCTTCGGTGATAATTAGGAAACATTGGAATCAAACAGGGATAGAGTTATCGTTCTTGCTTAAAGTAGTGCTGATGTAGTGTAGATGCCATTTTAACATCCTTCTAGAGGGGCAAGAGTCGCTATTCGGCTTGTCCCGGAATAACACGAGTTGGTCACGAATGACTAGGGTTGTGACAACACGGAAAGAGTCTGCACACAAAGTTGACTCCAAGGTTTTTACATCCGGTGACAGGTGGGCTCGATCCCGGCACCTCGACCTCGCTGGATCACTAGCCTGGGCGCCTTAGCCAGCTCGCCCACCGTGCCCCCAATTCGATGCTCCAGAGCGGATGTACTGCAGTAGTTTCTGTTTGGTTCGTCACTGCAGGCCAGAGCGTTGTTTGAGTTCGGTACGGCACTTTGTACCAGAGTGTCGCTCTCACAAAGGGAGAAGAGGCCAGTTCACCGTTTCACTTCAGTTCACCACTCTCGTCTGGTCCAACTCATTAGCCCAGTGTGCCGCTTTCGATTGGATCAACACTTCAGCCCAACGTGCCTTTTCGATTGGATCAACGCTTCAGATCAGTGTTCTATTTTCGATTAGAACAACGATTCAACCTAGTGAACTGTTGTTTGATCGGAACACCTTTGCAGTCCAGTACACCATTACTGTATGGTACGACGTTTTAGACGAGTGCATTGGTCTCCATTGACTCAGCGCTTTAGATCACACTGCTGAACTGGATCACAGTACTGAACCAGATCACCTATACGATCCTGATCGCCGAACCATACCAGATTGCCGCTCTAACAGTATTCGCCGATCCGACAGTGTTCGCTGAACTGTCAGCATTCGCGAATCATCTGGTTACCTCTATGCGCCTACTGTCAACTTTGTTGCTAGTTCGCACACTACGTTACCAACAGTGAATTTCTCTACTGCGAGTCTATCTTCCACACTACTTCCAACTTCGGTGTTGATGCCTCATTCTATAGTTTACCGGTGCTCAGCTTGGCTTTGGGGTTATGCTTCCTGCTTCTGCGGTGTTCACGTACGGACAGTGCGTTCACTCCAATGCGGTGTTTTTATTCAGTTCAGCATTTCAGAACGCACATTGGTTTTTTGATTGCTCATCTCTACACACCAGTGCGCCGCTTTGTCCCTATTCAGCGCTTTCATTCAGTTCGGCGCTTCAGAGAGTACCTTGGGTTTTTGATTAGCTCGTCTCTACACACCAATACGCCGTTTTCAGACCAGTGCGACGCTTTGCCCCAAAGCGCCGATCATATCCAGAGTGACGTTTTACTCCAGTGCACCGCTCTCTAATGTGTCGATGCTTCCATCCAGTGCGCCGCTCTCTTATGTATCAACGCTTCCATCCAGTGCGACGCTTCCAGTTAGTGCATCGTTCTGCCTGTTGTACAGAAGTAGTAGTTATGTCAGTAACGCAGGCGTCTACATTACGGTAGCGATTGATGATCCTGGATCTTTAATCTCGACATTTCTGTTTGAGGATTAAAGAACGTCATTGTGGATTCTCTGTCCCGCCCAATTCGTCCCTCTCCGACAGAGTGGAAGCTACATCCACAGGTGTTCCAGACCTTCTGCCTCCCGCTGACGACTACAACAGTGGATCTATATGCCACCCGTTTCAACCACCGGCTGCCTCTGTTCGTGTCTCCGATTCCGGACCCTCTTGCTTGGAGTCACGATGCTCTGGCCATTCCTTGGGACGACCTAAACGCGTACGCGTTTCCTCATGTGGCCCTACTACTACTGAAACTGCGCACAACTCAGCGGATGACACTGTTTTTGGTCGTGCCCTACTGGCCGGCCAGAAGTTGGTTCGTATACCTACAAGAAATGGCCTATCCAGAGCCTGTACCACTTCCCGATCGTGTCGATCTCCTGGTTCATCCGCACTCCGATCAGCTGCTTTGGTCTCCGCTCACACTCCATCTTCACGTTTGGCGCATCTACATAAGTTGCTAACTGCTAAGGGATATTCTAAGCGAGTCGCTACTGCCATCAATACAGTGCATCGTACCTACACTAGATCACTCTATGATGACCAGTGGAAGAATTTTGAAGCGTACTGCAGGACGAAGGGTATAGCATCTCCCACTAAGGCTTCACCACAGATGGTTGCGGAGTACCTTCAACATTTTCGAACCTCCAGGAAGCTTAAGGGTTCTACACTCTCTACCTACCTGGCTGCTCTTAACACCGTTATTGCACCAGATATCGATGTCATCCATATCTTGGTACTGTTTTCGTTTGGGCATAGACCACCTCACCTAGGGAACTAGGGCGTGTCTGCACTGTCATAGATATGACTCTATAGACTGAGAGGCCAGTCTTGTGCTACATGCAGAGGTTGTCGACACTCCGCTTACTGACCTATACTCTTCGAGCAATCACGTCCGTGAAGTGTTGATTTCTGATTACCTGTGTTGTTTTCGAAGCGTTCCGCTCCTAAGTCCTTTCTCGCCTCTGGGAGGGAGATTGGTACTTAACGTTTAACAAGTTGAGCAACCGGGCTATTCCCCTTTTCACTGTCTCCAACGTGTGTGTGTGTGTGTGTGTGTGTGCGTGTGTGTGTTCCGAAGCAGTGACTGTTCAGATTAAGGTCTTCGACTTTAATTCACTGGGGTCACTTGATATATCGCGGCTGAAAACCACATTAAAACAGAAGCGCCCACTCCCTAGAGTTTTTGTGCTGTGTAAGCCAAGGGGTTATCCGAAGCAACCCATCACAGAGTTAGCATATCGGGAGTTGGTGCTTTCTCCTGGCCTCCTTGTGTTATGCGACCTCACGGTTGGAGAGTCACACGGGGTAATCTGTGGCCCACCAGCCAACCGTGAGATAATGCATACCGTGAGATAGGATAGGTTTAAAAATTTAGAAATTTTAACATAAATTGTATATTTATATACTTATCCTATCTCACGCGATGGATGCCCACCCGACCTGCACCACATCACAGATTACTGGAAGCTCCAAGACGAGAATGACACGGGCAGGCTGTCAGGTGATCATCGGAGCGATCTGCACGCCTATTGAGATGACTGACAGGTCCTGCTGTGGAGTGGGGCAGAGGTCAGGGGTCAAAGTTTGCTTCAACTTAGCCTACAGCACGTTTCCACACATGGTCGAAGAAGAAGAAGAGCGCTGCATACGGTGAGATAGGATAAGTATATAAATATACAATTTATGTTAAAATTTCCAATTTTATTATGCCGAGATTGATAATGCATTCAGCATTGGGACAAGATATTTTCAGACTAACATACTTTATGTCCCGGTTGATAAAATGTACGTAAACTATTTGCAACTTGCAAATGTGGCAATGTGGAGAGCACTCAGGAATCAATTACACATAGGCTATACCAATGAATACATTTGTATGCATGGTACCTATAATCTTTCGGTGCAGTATGTCTACTTATATTTATGACAGGTCGACATCAATTAATTTGTTTTCTGGTACGTGATCGGGAACGCTTGTTTTTAACCATATACTCAACCTGGTGATAGGGTAGCCTAGTGGTAAAAACGTTCGTTCGTCACGCCGGAGACTAGCGTTCGATTGTGTGAAGCCCATTTCTGTTGTTCCCTGCTGTGATATTGCTGGAATATTGCTAAAAGCGGCGTAAAACTAAACTCACTCACGCACTATTTCTGGTCCCAAGTCACCCTTAAGCTATCCCACCACTGAGTTTGTTTGTAAAACCAATAAAATGTTCAATAAAATGTCTAGTACAGATATATAAGCATGAAAACCAATAAGTGACGTGCTTTTTTAACCATTTATTATCCTGTAAACTAAATATTATTTGTTTACGGACATGTTATTACAGTGCACTCTGTCTAATTCGGACCAGCTTGGGACCGACTAAAAAGTCCGAATTATTCAGTAGTCAGAAGTACACAGATTTTAATGGAGTTATCTCCCTATTATCAGCAGAATTAAAATTATAAACTATTTTTCGCAATGTTATTGAAAACAACGATTCTCGGACACCTGCTTCGGCAGCGGGTCCACAATAACATTGTCAAAGAGCGAAGTAACGATGTTTCGAGGAATTCATGAAATAAATTGAATATGGACCAAATATTCATCAAAAGTGAAATCAATCTGTATCGAATGTATCTGTGTTTGTCCTTTTGACCACAGCACTTCCGCTCTCTGCGCCTCGAGATCTCTTATCACTAAACCTGAAGTAATTACAATGTTGCTTGATGGGAATTTAGAAGTTGGAAGGTAAAATTGCCCCAGAAACGTCGTGTTGTAAATATTAAAGAAGTTGTAAATCCATACCATACGTTGTTAGATTGAATGGGCATTCACCTGATGAAGGGGCAGGAAGTAGCCCAGAAACGTCGTGTTGTAAATATTAAAGAAGTTGTAAATCCATACCATACGTTGTTAGATTGAATGGGCATTCACCTGATGAAGGGGCAGGAAGTAGCCCAGAAACGTCGTGTTGTAAATATTAAAGAAGTTGTAAATCCATACCATACGTTGTTAGATTGAATGGGCATTCACCTGATGAAGGGGCAAGAAGTAGCCCAGAAACGTCGTGTTGTAAATATTATTAAAGAAGTTGTAAATCCATACCATACGTTGTCAGATTGAATGGGCATTCCACCTTCTACAGAAATGTCCATGAAGAAGGAAAGTAGCCCAGAAACGTCGTGTTGTAAAATAAATATTAAAGAAGTTGTAAATCCATACCATACGTTGTTAGATTGAATGGGCATTCCACCTTGATGAATGGGCAAGAAGTCAAGAAACATCGTGTTGTAAATATTAAAGAAGTTGTAAATCCATACCATACGTTGTTAGATTGAATGGGCATTCACCTGATGAAGGGGCAAGAAGTAGCCCAGAAACGTCGTGTTGTAAATATTAAAGAAGTTGTAAATCCATACCATACGTTGTTAGATTGAATGGGCATTCACCTGATGAAGGGCAAGAAGTAGCCCAGAAACGTCGTGTTGTAAAAAATATTAAAGAAGTTGTAAATCCATACCATACGTTGTCAGATTGAATGGGCATTCACCTGATGAAGGGCAAGAAGTAGCCCAGAAACGTCGTGTTGTAAATATTAAAGAAGTTGTAAATCCATACCATACGTTGTTAGATTGAATGGGCATTCACCTGATGAAGGGGCAAGAAGTAGCCCAGAAACGTCGTGTTGTAAATATTAAAGAAGTTGTAAATCCATACCATACGTTGTTAGATTGAATGGGCATTCACCTGATGAAGGGGCAGGAAGTAGCCCAGAAACGTCGTGTTGTAAATATTAAAGAAGTTGTAAAATCCATACCATACGTTGTTAGATTGAATGGGCATTCACCTGATGAAGGGGCAAGAAGTAGCCCAGAAACGTCGTGTTGTAAATATTAAAGAAGTTGTAAATCCATACCATACGTTGTTAGATTGAATGGGCATTCACCTGATGAAGGGGCAAGAAGTCAGCCAGAAACGTCGTGATGTAAATAATGAAGATGTTGTAAATCCATACCATACGTTGTTACATTGCACTAAGGTTACCTTAGTGCTTTATGAAAGGAGGCTAAGAGGCCCCGAAGCTGGTGATCAGCCTTACCGGCCCGACTGCGCCAGGATCACCCGAACCCTCTCTGCTTATTTATATCTCATTCTGGTAATAGATAATAACTTTGATGGTGATTTCAAACAAAAAGAGTAACTTACATGAACGTTTGGATCTTACAGACGAAACTGCATTTATCAACGGTTGTATCATTCCACGTTTGTAAACGCTTTGCAAGAATCCACGATACATACATGTGTACGTTTGTTGACAGTGTCACATACTGAACCCACACGTGAAGATCCGGGTTAGAATTGATCTTCAGTAACCCATGCCTGTCGTAAGAGGCGACTAACGGGATCGGGTTGTCAGACTCGCTGACTTGGTTGACACATGTCATCGGTTCCCAGTTGCGTAGAACAATCCTATGTTGTTGATCACTTAATTATCTGGTCCAGACTCGATTATTTACATACTGCCCCATATAGGTGGAATATTGCGGAGTGCGGCGTTAAACAACAAACCAACCAACACAATGAACCGATACACATGCCTCTCCAGATGATGTTGCGTCGGTGAGCTGTAACACTCGGGCGAACATACAACCGGTAGTAAGCACATCTTGTTATACGCGAACAGGATTCAGCGCTGTGACCGTGACGTTTTGATAACAGTGAACAGCAAGTTTAATTCAGTGCGTTGGAGGTAGATATTGAACGCTGCTTAATACTAAAAAAACGAGGCACATTATTGTTTTATGGGGTACTCGTACTGCTGTCAATCACTCTTCAATGTGCCTCGTCGGGTGGCACTCGTGGACCAAAAACTGTATGACTGCTCTGTACTGAGGCGTATCCATTTCTGCCGTTTCAGTAGGGGTACATGTGGTTAGACTGACTGACTGACTGAGTTTGGTTTTACGCCACTTTTAGCAATATTCAACAACATCACGGCAGGGGACACCAGAAATGGGCTTCACACATTGTACCCATGTGGGGAATCGAACCCGGCGTGACGAGCCAACGCTTTAACTTTTAGGCTACCCCACCGCCCCACATGTGGTTAGATGTGACAGGACCGTATACTACCAGCATGTGCATGTCAATATTACGTTTATGTGAATGATATTAACCATTCTTCAATATCATACAGTTATTTTTATCATGTACACATCAGAAGTATTTTAGGCTCAAAACTGTTTGATAGCTCCTCGTATTTGTAGTGTCTCACGGGATAATCAGCACAGATGTCACTGGTAGTTATAATGCTGGATATTCTACTTGACGGATCAATGGATGACACTGGTGTTTGTGGATGAACTATGTAACTCTAGCAATTTAGCGAACACAGGTTGTTATTGATATAACTGACAGAAATAAGGACGAACGATATTACAGGTGAAGAAACGTCATGCGAGCCATGTTGATTTACACTTGCCAGAGGGGTACACAAAATAATTAAATTGCGATCTAGATTATTAGTTGTCTTGCATTTTCATGGAAGCCACGGTGACTGGGTGGGTTAAAGCGCTGATTTATATGGAAGCCACGAGGCTGGGTGGGTTGGAGCGCTGATTTCTATGGAAGCGATGTTGGAGGGCTGAGTTTTATGGAAGACACGGTGGCTGGGTGGGTTGGAAGGCTGAGTTTTATGGAAGACACGGTGACTGGGTGGGTTAAAGCGCTGAGTTTCATGGAAGACACAGGGGGTGGGTGGTTTGAAGCGCTTAGTTTTATGGAAGACACGGTGAATGGGTGGGTTGAAGCGCTGACTTGTATGGAAGCTACGGTGAGTGGGCTGGTTGAAGAGCTCAATTGTATGGAAGACACGGTGACTGGGTGGGTTGAAGCGCTGATTTTTAAGGAATCCACAGTGACTGGGTGGGTTCAATCGCTGATTTTTATGGAACCCACAGTGACTGGGTGGGTTCAAGCGCTGATTTTTATGGAACCCACGGTGACTGGGTGGGTTCAATCGCTGATTTTTATGGAACCCACGGTGACTGGGTGGGTTCAATCGCTGATTTTTATGGAACCCACAGTGACTGGGTGGGTTCAATCGCTGATTTTTATGGAACCCACAGTGACTGGGTGGGTTCAATCGCTACTTTTTATGGAACCCACAGTGACTGGGTGGGTTTAAGCGCTGATTTTTATGGAACCCACGGTGACTGGGTGGGTTCAATCGCTGATTTTTATGGAACCCACGGTGACTGAGTGGGTTCAATCGCTGATTTTTATGGAACCCACAGTGACTGGGTGGGTTTAAGCGCTGATTTTTATGGAACCCACAGTGACTGCGGGTGGGTTCAATCGCTGATTTTATGGAACCCACGGTGACTGGTGGGTTCAATCGCTGATTTTATGGAACCCCATTGACTGGGTGGTTCAATCGCTGATTTTTACGGAACCCACGGTGACTGGGTGGGTTCAATCGCTGATTTTATGGAACCCACGGTGACTGCGGGTTCAATCGCTGATTTTTATGGAACCCACATTAGTTTCGGGTGGGTTCAATTGTTGATTTTTATGGAACCCACAGTGACTGGGTGGGTTCAAGCTGCTGATTTTATCGAACCCACGGTGACTGGGTGGGTTCAATCGCTGATTTTTATGGAACCCACAGTGACTGGGTGGGTTCAAGCGCTGATTTTTATGGAACCCACGGTGACTGGGTGGGTTCAATCGCTGATTTTTATGGAATCCACGGTGACTGGGTGGGTTCAATCGCTGATTTTTATGGAATCCATTAACCATTAACCCGGATGGCACATGTCATCGTATCCCAATTGCGAGGATCGATACTCGTGTTGTTTATCACCGGATTGTCTGGACCAGACTCGAATATCTACAGACAGCCACCACATACCTGGAATATATTGCTGAGTGGGTCGTTATACTGTCACAAACACGTGATTATTTCGGTTGCACTGCATCATACACCAGGATATAACGCATCCCACACCTGGGTACAATGCAGCATACACCTGTACACCGCATCATACACCTGTACATCGCATCATACACCTGTACACCGCATTATACACCAGGATATAACGCATCACACACCTGGGTGCAATGCAGCATACACCTGTACACTGCATCATACAGCAGGATGTAACGCATCACACCTGGGTACAATACAGCATACACCTGTACATCGCATTATACATCAGGATGTAACGCATCACACACCTGGGAGCAATGCAGCATACACCTGTACACCGCATCATACACCAGGGTGTAACGCATCACACACCTGGGTGCAATGAAGCATACACCTGTACACAGCATCATACACCAGGATATAACGCATCACACACCTGGGTGCAATGCAGCATACACCTGTACACTGCATCATACAGCAGGATGTAACGCATCACACCTGGGTACAATACAGCATACACCTGTACATCGCATTATACATCAGGATGTAACGCATCACACACCTGGGAGCAATGCAGCATACACCTGTACACCGCATCATACACCAGGGTGTAACGCATCACACACCTGGGTGCAATGAAGCATACACCTGTACACAGCATCATACACCAGGATATAACGCATCACACACCTGGGTGCAATGCAGGATACACCTGTACACAGCATCATACACCTGGATATAACGCATTACACACCTGGGTGCAATGAAGCATACACCTGTACACAGCATCATACACCAGGATATAACGCATCACACACCTGGGTGCAGTGCAGCATACACCTGTACACCGCATCATACACCTGTACATCGCATTATACACCAGGATATAACGCATCACACACCTGGGTACAAGGCAGCATACACCTGTACACCGTATTATACACCAGGATGTAACGCATCACACACCTGGGTGCAAGGAAGCATACAGACTCGATTATTTACATACCGCCCCATATAGGTGGAATATTGCGGAGTGCGGCGTTAAACAACAAACCAACCAACACAATGAACCGATACACATGCCTCTCCAGATGATGTTGCGTCGGTGAACTGTAGTAACACTCGGGCGAACAGACAACCGGTAGTAAGCACATCTTGTTATACGCGAATAGGATTCAGCGCTGTGACCGTGACGTTTTGATAACAGTGAACGTGATCAGCAAGTTTAATTCAGTGCGTTGGAGGTAGATATTGAACGCTGAGACTAAGTGCTGCTTAATACTAAAAAAACGAGGCACATTATTGTTTTATGGGGTACTCGTACTGCTGTCAATCACTCTTCAATGTGCCTCGTCGGGTGGCACTGGTGGACCAAAAACTGTATGACTGCTCTGTACTCAAGCGTATCCGTATAACGCATCACACACCTGGGTGCTATACAGCATACACCTGTACACCGCAAAGTTTATACCTGCTGCACCGAATCACACACCTGAGTGTAATGCGTCACATATCTGGCGTACTCGCATCGATACACCCGTACACTGCACCATGCACTCTGCAATACCGCAGTGTACACCTGTGCACTGCTTCATGCACCAGCATCATGCACCTGTAAACTGCATCATGCACCTGTACACAGCAGTCTACACCTGATGTCCTGAACCACACCCCTGCGTGTACTGCGTCACACACCTGGGTTAAGTGCACCGTTCACGTGGATGCACTAAATACACGTGGATGCACCAAATATACGGGGGTGCACTGCATCAAATACCTGCGTGGTAAGCATGATTCCCATGGTGAGCTGCTGGCAGCAGGTGACAATATATGTTACTGACGGGTCAACGCGCACAAAATACGCCCTTCTATCGTGAATGACTGAAGCCTCGGTGATGGCTGTAACGAGGCACTCAATAACATTTGAGAAGTGTTTCGTTGCGCGTTTGCCTATTTCTTTCGTCTTTTTGCCCCGAATGCTCTGACAAATCAAGTGTACACTTACGGTAACAGTAGGACAAGGGTCAGACGCCGCTGGGTGTGGCAATTTCACTCGACGACCAACCCTTCGCGGACGTGATCACACAAACCTCGTCAGCTAATTGCTGGAAACGCTGGTACGTATGTTCTTCAAAGAGCTAAACAGATAGCATTTTATGCTGGAAACACATTTTACAGTGCGTGAGTAATCCTTGTTATATGCAGCTCAACATGTGAAAAGGATGGGGATAAATCTGTCTGGTTGTTGGGAGCTAACGAGGATAACATTGTTTATGGTGACCTCATTTAGCGAAAATGGTGACGAGCGCGCGCGCGTGCGTGTGTATGTGCGTGGGTAAGTGCTTGAGTGTCTGCTTGTGCTAGTCGTGACAAATCGTGGTTTAACAGAGATGGCCGACTATGGTACCATGCTGCATTTTAACATGGTTACTCCGTACAGTATTCTGTCTCAGAAGCGACCAGACATTTCATCTACTTCATGCCGAGACCGGGGCCGGTGGGGTAGCCTAGTGGTTATGGTGGGTTATGGTTATGGCGGAAAACCCGGGTTCGATTCCCTATATGGGTTACAATATCAGTCGAAGCCCATTTCTGGTGTCCCCGCCGTGATATGGCCGGAATATTGCTTCAAAAGTGCATGCGTAAAACCATATTCACTGATCACAGAAGTAACACATTTGTAAGGCTACCGATTGTATTCTTAAATTGTGTAGTTCGTGTTGTGAATTCCATTCCTTTATTTCAGGATATTACACGTCATCGTATCCCATTTGCGTAGACCTATGCTCATTCAGTCTGGCCTATTCATACACGATTACACACCAGGGGGATACAGCTTTTTGAGTTTCAGTGGTCATTTAATAACCTATCATTTTCACACAGGGAACTGTGTGTGTGTCCGCGCACAACACACACACACACACACACATCTCTACAAACCCCCACCCCCCGATCCCTCTTCCCTCCCCCTGGATCCGCCTATGGACACCGACGCCATCTCATATTGCTGGAATATTGACGAGTGT